ATTTTAAACAAGAAATCAAGATATGCTAACCTTTGGCATTCCCCCTCTCACAAGACTTAAAACAATTAGCTCAAATGCTAAAGAAAGTGTCATCTAAGCACAGCATCCACTGCAGACATGAGTATTTCTGTTAAAGTCTGACTGCTGTGAAGACATGTATTGTTCTTCGAAGGGCAGCTGACCCAGCTGTGCCTGGCACAGTAGCTTGTTTGTACAGTCCTTAGTTTGGACAACTATATCCCAGGGAGAAAAGCCTCCCACAAAGATCAAAAACAAGACAGGGTCCAAAGCATAATCTCACAAGCAGCATGTCTGCACTCTTGTGTTACCAGCAATTAGTCTGCACACACCCTTACCAGCCCACATAGCAGTAGGGGAGGTACTGCAAAACTGAGTTTCCTGACACCTTATTGAACAACATCCTAAAGAGTTCTGGCCATGGAAACAGGAGGAGTAGACAAAATGAGGTTTGCATTTGAAAAGTGCTTTCAAGTCAGCACTTGCATAAATTCTTCAATCATAAGTTCAGAAGAACATATACAAAAGAAGCAAAATCAGAGAAACAGGATGTCAAACAGCAGCTCTGCACTGTGGGCTGTACCAGTCCTGCCCCAGTGGCAAACCTTCTAAGGTGTAGGACTGTTGCCACACATTCACAACCTGTGCTGGAACAGAGCTACTCATTACACAAATCTGTCTTCTCAGGCTCCACAGAATAGCAAGAAGTAGTCCACCTGCAAAGTTTTATTTAGAAACTTCATTTAATAATGTATTTATATTAAAACCATCTCAGACTTCATTTGAGAAAGCATTCCCTTACAAATGCAGCTGATGTTTCCTATTTCCTGCTTCTGCCTTTCATCATGCCCAAAGCAATGTAAACACTAAAAATGTTTGTAGGGAAGGAATCTGAGACTGGAAAGTACACTTAAACACCTTCAACTGGAATAGCACATATTTTATCCTAATGTAGTCATGGGCTTTATTTGCTTCTGCAGACAAGATCAATGGCCTCTTGCTCTAATAGGGTCTGAAGCAATTTTGATGTGATCTCACCCTTCTCTCCCTTTTATTATTTGAAATGCAAGCTAACCATAAATGCAATAGGGATGTTTCACATATCAAGAGTATTTAAGTAAGAATTTGAGGCAACCCCAGGCTCTGCAATAGCTTCACCTCTCCACACTGTTCTAAAAGAGATGCTAGGAGAACCCAGGCCAGAGGTATGCCTTGATTATCCCATTCAATCAAGGACTCATCTAAAAACATACTCAGAACAATGCTGAAATACAGGAAGTTTTACTCTGTCTGCCACAGCTATCACCTGGGGGGTACTGTGCACATTAGTTACCTCTTCCAGATCTGGCAGTACATTTCACCTTAGCTTCCTCACATACACCACCAAAAATGGAGGGGGATGCAGAGCAGGCTTTGATTTTTAAATACTTCAGCCACTAACTTTTAGAGTACATCCAACTTGGATGTAACCAAATTTCATAGAAAACAGTAGTGCCTTTTCATAGAAAAGTGAAGACGAAAGCATTCAATCATCCCACTTCCCACCACTGCAAAGAGCACTCTGACTCTTCCACTCTTTAAAAAGCAAAACCAAAACAACTTCTCAAGCACTGCCTTGGAATGCACGATCCCAAAAAGAAGAACAGACTTCTAGATTTGTTTCACTTACCAAAAAAGGCGCACAAACCCAAGTGAAGGTTGCCATTGCAGCAAGGTAAGCAGATTTTTTTAGGACTTTGAGTTCTTTCTGTCTGATCTCTAATACCTTCTCTCTGAAGGCTAATTCCCAGGCATAAAGTTTCAGAACTTTAATCCCATTAAGAATTTCATTCATCAGCTTAATTCTGTTGTCTTTGCTCTTCATTTGAGCCACCTAAAAACAACATTGCAAAAAGTAATTAGCAGAGCACAATACTTGGCAGAACCTCAAAGTTCTAAGCTTTGTATTTTGCAATGGCAAAATTTACCTCATCAAAAGCTTACTTAGGTTCCCAAGCAGGAAATCTGAGATGCTATCTGAACAAACAAATATGCAGAACTAACAAGATGTTTTAAACCAATTAGAAGAATGCTTCATAGAACTGAAAATGTGAACCAAAATCAAAACAATTGTGGCACTGGTGTAAGTGGGATTAACCATGTGTCAGGGAGCCCTGGGACTCAGGTTCCTCCTAGGTACAACATACAGTTAAAAAATAAGGCACTAAAATTAAGCTTCATCAATGTTCAGTTTGCATCTAACCTTAGACCAAACTTGGTTTTGCTTCATTTTCATCACTAGCAATGGCTTTCTGATGGTGCACCAAAGCAAAAAGCTTTCCATTCAGCCACAAGAAGAAAGTTCATTCTTCAGAGGTTTCCCTCTTCACACTAATGAGCAGTGCAAAGCTGAAATCATACTCTGACTCGGCACCAGCCAGAGCCAGTAGACTGCCCAAATACAGCTATCCCAGAGAGCTGTTCCTAGGGACAGTGTGGCTGTGGCAGTCTAGATATCCCCACTTCTTCCATCTGGGAACTAAACGCTGTGGTATATTTTGATGAACATCTAGAGCTAAGATTCATTTAGCTTATTCATTTATTTAGGCTTCATCTAAATAATCTCTGACATTCAGCAAATTCAGTTAATAGAGAGGTTTGTACCAGAAAGCACATGGTGGAGCTGTTGGAAGTAGTTTTTGCAATAAAAAAGCATGAGAGTTTTGTGCACTCTGTGTAACAAATTGATCCCTCTAAATAAAATGGATGTGGGATCAAAACCAGTTGACAACTAAAACTTCTCCTTCTCCATCCCTCCAGTAAGAAATCAAAACAAAACAACCAAGAACAAACCACACCCATACCCCAACACTGCAACCACCATCCTGGAAATGTGACTATTTCACACACTTAAGGTTCATTAGGAAGACAGTAGTTTATGTTTGCACTTCAGTTCTTAGGCAGCAAGTTAAAAATTCAACTCATTACAACCCAATGATCAGGCATTTTACGAAGCTGGCTAACCTGCTAGCTTAGTCTTAACTACTGCAAAGCTTCTAGATCATTATGGACAGACAGCAAGGCTGAAAAATACATCAGTTTGATTGTCCTGCATATACAACATCTCTGACCTTTCTTTCTCTTATCGTCTTTTAAGGGATTAATAAAGAGAGGGAAAAATATTTAAAAGGACCTCACAAACAATTCAATGAACAGAATATTTTTCTTAAAAGCACTCTATCACATATATAAAGGTTCTAACCTGATAGGTTTTTGTCTTCATTGCCATCACAGCATTTATCGGAACCAGAAGGATCATCACAGCCACACCTGCCAGCACTGAAGCACCTAAATTCTGAAAAGCACTGAATTGTCAGCATTTATGTAAACTCATTTTTTAAAAAATCTTGGGTCAAACTACCGCACATGCTACAGAAAAAAAATTCCCAAGTGGCTTTTCAATCTCTTCTTCCCGTTTAAAGAACAGCTATGGGAAGAAGAGGAGGATGAAGTAGCATCTTGGGTTGATGTTTACGTGCTTTGAGTTCTGAAACAAACATGTATATAGACAGGTACACACAGATACAGATCACTCTCTGTGTATCTATTGATACACACATACAGAGGTCTGTTCATGTTTTCCAGTTTTTGCTGGTTTGTTCTTCTGAGGCAGAGAGCCATGCAGGAAGCAAGCAACTTCCAGGGACTTTCACTGTCTTTCTGACAGACAGCGCAGAACAGGGAAGAGTCAGCCTGGCAACTGCCTGGACTAGAACAGCAACATCTCATGTGGCAACTCTCAGAGTGCAGAACCATGATCACTTTTCTTTAAATCAAGTAGCAAGTGAGATATCATAGGTGCTGCAATCCCCCAAAAGATAGTAGCTCCCATCTGCATCCTCCCCATGCACACTCAGAGACGTGCAAATTAAGAACTTTCTGCCTTCCATCTTTACAGCAGTGACAGAAGCAGCTCTAAGCAGCTTCTAAACAAGCAGCATGTTCTCCACACTGCTGCAAACACTGCAGCAGTCACGACTACAGCTGTCTGTAGTCATGAACACAGGAAGCAACACAGGAACTTGCCAAAGTCATAACAGGAAACAATGCACAACACTCACCTGCCACAGTAAGTACAGTGCCAGTATCACCTGCAGAGGTGCAGACCAAATCATATTTATGTAAGTAGCCAAGTCCATGAATCTCTGAGCATCCACAGACATCAGATTCACAATCTCTCCCACAGTAGAAGTCTTTCTAGCAGAATTTGTGATAACAAGTGCCTAGGTGCAAATTAAAAACAAGACAACATGAAGGAAGACTTCCTGATTTGCACTCTCTCCACAGAATCCAACTGCTTTAAAAATAACAAGCAACCTTTTTCCTGCTTCATATTCTGTTCACCCTGCACACCTTACAAATTGCAAGTTGTATAGTTTGAAGCAAGCAGCTGGGTTTCAACTAACAGAGTTAAAGGCAACAAGGGGTCTTCGGGGCTAGGGCTGGCTGGTGGTTCTGTTGCTTGGGGGGAATTGTTTGCTTGTTTTGGTTTTTAGCATAAGGAGTGGAATCTTCTTCACCTGTTACACATTTTTCTCTCACAGAGAAATTAGTCCACAGTTTTGTAAAATGTTCCAGCTTATTCCAAGATGAAGTGGCACTGCTGCTAAGTCCAAAATGAAGCTGTAAATGTAAATGTGTCTTAATTTCTGCACAAACTGAAGCAGTTTCACATCCTGAGTCTAAATGAGGCATGGCTTCTTGTTTGGCAGTGGGAAGAAAACGTGCCTAAACTTTAACTAGTAAATTAGAAAATTGCCCTACCTCAAAGGCTTTTTATGCATAAATTAGACACTCTGTTATTTCTTTTGAGTTAATAATTGGCCTGCAAGAGTCTAACTACTTCAATTATTCAAACTTCAGCAATGTATTCACACAGTCACCAAGAGGTACTGCTGTATATTTAAGGAAACACCTACCTTTCGATAGATTACACCAACAATAGCTGTTTTGAGCCTCATTCCAGTTACAAAGCAAATATGAAAATACTGGTGAAGAATCAGTGTCTGCAGACAGGCACAAACAAACAGTAGCCCCGTATAGAAGTAGCCTTGCCAATTTGGGGCAGCTTTGTTGTTTACAAAGTTGATCAGCAATCTGCAGAGACATTAATTAGTTCTCTTGATACAGGTAAATTAAAATGAAACGTCAAGGTTAAAACGCCAAATTATTCTGAACATTATATGGGTCATGCAAGCACCCAAAGTACCAAACTTAGATAAAACATTCAAGCAAACTTCTTAGAAACTGGAGATTATTTTATACTAGCACACATCACTCCCTCCTCCTAACAATGTACTACTTTAAAACACGAAGCATCATATACCATATATGTACAGCATTCTCTTGGAGATATACTAACAAGTCTTATATTCCCTCCAGCTGAAACACAACAGCTTGCAGTGGTTTTACTTCTTTTCACCTTGAAGAAATACAACTCCTACCCCCTCAGCTTTCTGTTGCTTCACACACTGTGACTTGTATTCCCACAGTCATTACAGGTCAGAATTAAATACACTGCTACTGTTGAATATGTTCCTGCCTGACTCTCCTAGTATTGGAAAGGAACACAAAAAGTCGGGGTTTTTTTTTAATTTTTTTTATATTTTCAGGCATAATGTTATAATCTGAAAACCAACGGACTAAAATCACCTGTGTGCATAGTCTCTAATTTGCATGATAATTCTTCCCCACTGAGCCAGCTGATGGTAAAGCAGCGTGGTGAGTGAAATACCACTGTGTTTTAAATTCTATCCACATACTTTTAATATAATAATGAAGTGTATAGGTCTTACTTCAGAATTTCTGGGCCTGCAAACATCAAGAGATCATGTGCAGCTTTAAACAGGAAGCTCATGAGAAAATATGGTCCAAAGGTTTTATATAACACCCTGAATAAAGATGCTTCAGAGCTCTTCTGAGACGGTTTTATAATCAAAGCTTCAGCTTCTTCTGTCACATCGCCATTTGAGCCACTTGGTTTTTGCTGCTTTTTGGACGAGTATAGCATGTTCACTGGCTGCCTGAAATAAGAATAGGTATGTAATGTTACCTTTATTCAGGAATAAACCAACTGGAAAAAAACACAGTATACAAATTAGATGTTTATGAGCTGTTTTTTTGCCCTTCTTAATAGTTAACTGGGCTTTACTGTCAGTCAAGCATCTTTTTAACTATACAACCATAGCTAAATGCACTGGCCATTCAGAAGTGCTCATCTTTGCAGGCAGAGGTAACATTTCTACTGAACCTCTCCTATAGGTCTGTCCTGGGAAATAAGGAACCGGGCCATAACCTGCATTAAGCTTAAAGATCAAAGGACATTATTATTCTGGATGCTCAACTTCAGTCCAGTACGCTCAGCTTCTATCAAAATCAAGGCCTCACTGTACCACCAGAGTTCAAAGACTGCCAGCCTCAGATTTATGCCAAGTCATCCCCAATGGACTTAACACATTCATTTCATATACCTGGCTTATGCCAAACTACATACTTACAAGTCTTTGAGGACAAGCTGTATGTAAAAATATACTGCTTAAGCAAGCAAGCAATCTTCCTTCAATGAAAAGGTACTTCTATTTGCTGCAGTAAAGGATGATGAAAGTAGGATGGAAACTGCAGGCACGCAGTCTTTCTAATTTTAGTCATCTGGTTTAGATGCCCAGGCTCCCTATATAGTCAAAGGAAAGAAATGAGCTTCTTGCTTTTACAACCTGACCTGTCCTCCCGAGGCCTCACTACCTGCAGACGGAGCCCAAGCTCCTCAACTACATGACTCAAGTTTGTGTGAAAACATCCCCTCCCGGGGGCAGGGGGGAAAATCAGCTTTGGACCATTAAAGGCTATGGGAAACTTGATGCAGCTCCTCATAAAGAGGACCACAACTCCTGTATGCACCTAAGGACAAGCACAGAGCTGCCAGCTGGGCCTTACGAAAGCAGGCCTGGTAACAGATGACAAACACCTCTAAGAAGAGGCTGAACAACTTGAGCTTTTGAACCTCCATGTCTTGGAAGAACTGCTAGCCAGGATGACTGAACTTACCTCTTGGTTTTTGCCCACTCTTTTGCCCAGTTTCTAGCCAAACCTGGCACTATCTCCTCCGATTTGTCCTCTTTATTTAATGACCACAAATCCTTGGCTTCCAAAGGTCTCCGGTAACCCTGAATCATCAACCTGTATTAGAAAGAATATATATGCTGTAAGATAGTGGCCATTACATCCAGTCCCAAAACAGCACCAGATCTTCACAAAAATGTTCACACTCTTAGCAACACAAGTCCAGATGCTAAAACAAACATCCTCCTGTGTTCATTGTGAGAATTAGACACCAAAACATCTAAGGATCCAGGACATGCCACTGAATTCAAATTTCAGGGCAAATAAAAAAAAGAAGAAATGATCTCATTTGAAAATCTGCCAGGCAATTAATATTCCCATGCGAACCAAGTTTCAAAATCTTTACTAGCCTCTAATTTTACAAAACAATTCCTTTCATCTAGCTTTCTGTTGGAACTCTGGCCAAGTACCAACCACAATTATACACCAATATTATTTTACATGTTTCTGTGTTTTAACTCACAAGAACATGCGTTGTGATCAAGTCATAAAGGATCACTAAAGCTAAGTTAACAAAAAAAAATACTGGGCAAAAAGCTATAGTTTTGAATGCTTCAGTTTCTAACTGCAGCAGATGATTTCTACCTTCTTATATATCCCAAAGGATTTTTTATTTTATTCTTTCAGCAAGTATACTAAAGATATACTGGCAAAATTTAGAATTACAAAAAAAAACCCTACAAAAATCTGTCTACAAAACAACCCTATCTACAAGACCTAATCTATCTACAAAACAACCAACCACAACAACCAAAATCATTGCATGATTATTGCTAATTTAACTCTGACAGCAGGATCCTAAAATGCCATCTCATTTTAACTGGTGTTTTATGCATCATCTTGATCTTACCCTGTGATCCACCAGAACGTGATTCTGGAAAGGAAAGAAGCACTGAACTCTGGACATGGATTCTAAAGGAGAGAAAAAGAAATCAGCCCACATACAAAGTGACAGATATAGGGCCAAAAGAAACAAACTACACAGGAAAAATGGTTTTGCAATGCCTTTTGTTTATAGTATTTTTACACATTACTAAACTTGCCATTTATGCTGTTGAGAGCTTGTTCAGAAAGCACAAGCACAGCTTCAAAGCTGTCAGCAGACCAGACCACTGGGACACAGGAATAGCAGTGCTCCATATCAACAATGCAACAAACAGTCAAGGAAATTGGATAAGACAATGCAAGCCAGTCTCTCAAGATGTCATGATCACTGCCTACCTACATCAGTGCAAGGTAACCTAGCATATGAGACCATATATATGTTAATTGATAGGTTAATTTGGTAGTTAGTCATAAATGAAGAACTTAGTTCTGCTGTTCCAGCAGTTATGTGCTTTGACTCCATCAAAACAGATGCACAAAAGGGAAAAAAAAAAAATCTAAGCTCCATAAAGTATCCCAAAACAGACCCTAAAATCCCTGCATCTAATTTATCAATAAGCATGGGAAACTTAAGTATCGAACAAGGTACACAGCCAGCTTGTGTTCTACATGGATCAGAGCAGAAGAAAGGGAGGCTGGAAGAATTCCAAAGGCATTAAAGGTCATTTACTTGCAGAATTTCAGTATAGATTTCTCTCTTCCCTCTTTCACTGCTGTGAACAGTATCTATAGAATTCTAAAACCAGCCACTCCTTTGGCACCCAAACCACTAGGATTTTTTATCATCCACTATAATTGCAGCAACTCAGGTATTTCTATCTAGAAAAGTCACCAATCATCATTAAAGAACAGCAATTAAAACAGCGACAGCCAAGTGTTCCCAAGATTTGCATTTTTCAATTTGTGCTTGTGCAACCTGGCTTCTCTGCTAAGTTATATTGAAGTGTGTGGCAACCAGGCTACCCCAGACAGACTCCCAGACTCCTGTGCTTCCTCTTCTTTACACAACAACTTTTTTTTGCAACTTGATCAGGAACAACAAAAGTATGAGACAGACACTTTTTGAAAGGGGTAAGAGTTACACAGTTCCAAATTATTTAAACACTTGCAATAAAATGACTGCAAGCAAATCCAATAGCATCACTTAATGAATAAATAAGTTTTGAAATTCACATAAGTTTAAACAAAAAAAAAAAAAAAAAAACACACACTGAGCAGGGATTGGGGTGCAAAACTTCCAGCCTTCAGCCATGCTGACAATCCTGACAAACAGATTTCTATTTCAGCAAATACAGGCAACACTTTCAACTTCAACAACATATAAAAATATTCTGAGCTTTACTTAAAATACTGTATTACTTTTTTCCTTTATAATTTTTTTCTAAATCTACTTGCAGGTAGAAACTCTAAATTCAGGAATTCACTAGATTTCATACTACTAAAACCTTGAATTCAATTGCATAAATTGAAAGTTTTAAAACATTAAAACACATCAGATTATTGTTCAGATAATACTATTTTTGATAAAATTATGTAGTTATCACACAAAGAACTACTAATCCTACTGACATTCCTGCCAGATAGAATGAAGACAACAAGTTGTAACAAATCCCAACTTACTTAATTTAAACAAACTAAAAATGAGACAAAACACTTCCACTTCTATGCACATCAGCATCTATATCTCTGAAATTTCACTGTCATTTTTGGGCTTAAGTAAACATATAGTAAGATTTTACCCAAGATGTACAAAGAATTCTGTTTGGAAAATGCCTGGCAGAAAGGAATAAAAGAGACTTTAAGATGGATTAACTTGACTTGCTTTGTTCTTCTCCTCAGCATAACATTCAACGAACACATCACTCATGACAAAAGGTTAAAATTCAGTCTACCCTATTTCCTCACATACTCCTAGAAACGCTCAGGACACAAAAAGAAACCCTGTGGTCTCAAAGCACCATGTAATTACTGTAACCATGATCAAAGCAGAAAAAAAGATTTCCATAAATCAGCAGTAGCCTGTCAAAAACATTTAATCCCCGAACGAGATGAAAAGAACCCAGAGATGAAGAGGATCCAAAGACTCTTCCCACCAGGCATACGCACAGAGACTACCTGCCAGTGGCAGTGCAGGGCACCACTGGCACACTGGATACAAACGGAGAAGGGAACTGTGCAATTCAGTAAGTGCCACTGGTTAGGGACCTTTTCCACGGTCACAAAATCACACATTTCACCCCCCTCACCCCTCACACATTTCACACATCCCTTTGTCAGTCAATACCACCCAACATCAATCAAACCAGAACTTGCACCTTACAACAACACAGAACTGAGATTTCTCAACTTGGCACATCCAAACTCCAGGCAGTGACAGGTGTCACTCCACTGTGACTCAGGTGGTCTAGCCCAGGGCTACAGAAGCAGTTATAATGATCCAGCATCCCCTGGGTCACTTTAGATCCATGCCAGATAGCTAGCACATATAATTAAGAACACATGCAAAAAAAGATAGTGTCTAGCTAAAATTAAATTTCTACATGCAGGCCACCCTCTAATATTAACTGATCCTGCAATTGAGCTGGTTAAATTTTTGCTTAACACAAGGAAGTTAAATATGGAAACGAAATGTAGCGTCTTCCCCACCTTCCACAGGAAGGGAATACACATCCCTCTGAGTTAGTGCCTACTGAACGGTATCAGGTGACCAGGAGAACAGCATTTCAAAGCAGCATTTCCCACTGACTGCCAAAAGCACCACTGAATATACATATGTATGACCTAACCTTCAGGAACGACTCTAACAGTATTTTGCTCTCTCTCTTAATTTCAGTCCTCCCCAGTTTGCATTTTATAGGCTTCACCTGCTGCATCACCAACTACAGAGCAGAAAGAACACTCCACTGCAAACAAGTCAACAAGATTTGAATTATCTGGCATCTGGCAGACTACGGCCTTATAACCTATTGTACAGAACACTGCATGCATGATACTCAGCACTCAGTACAGACTGAAGACTTACAGGATCATTTACTGTTTCAGAAAACAGAGGTGGTCGTTCTGGAAAACAACACAAGATGAGCTGTACAAGTAACAGGACAAAGTAGATGCAGAAGGTGACGTTACGAAATGCATACACTTCAGCACCCTGCAAAGGAAGGTAATGTTCAAATTAGAATGCTCAAGGAATTTCTTTAAAACATGTTACTATTAAACAAAGCAGCTCCTTACTGTAAATTCTGAAAGCTACATACATGTTACACTATCCACCCCTATGCAAATTAAAGTTCACATCTACTTCGGTAAAGGGAAGGTAAAGAGAGGAGGGGGAGAAGATGAAAGAAATCATTTATTTTTAATCAGTAATTGCCATAAACACACAAGCATGAACTTCTTTCATAAATAAATTCTCTTTAAGACACATTTGTACAAATACAACATGCTCCAATTTGAAGTCAAGGTATTCTTTACAGGAGCAAGGCATTTATGAGCTGGGTAGTAGGGAGTTTTCAAAGCAAATTTGTTAATCAGTATGCATGCAGAAAATAAGAATTAGAAGAGCATGATTTAGATGACACTTTGTTACGTTGTGCTCACACTCCAGAGGTTTTTCAGTTTTTTAGACAAGGACTGACAAAGCATAAGCCACACAAATCAAAGCACAGGGATGGATGGACTCCCACCCACAAACCAGTGAAATCCCACTCCCAACATCTCAACACAAAAGTTGCCTGAAGGTTCTCAAAATCCACAACATGGCTTCAGCTCCACAACTAATCTGATATTTGAGGTGGCCTTACTATAAAGCAGACCAACATAAAAGCATTTAACTTGTACACTTTCACTTTGTCTCAGCAGATGTGACCACACCACCACTAAATCAAGTGTTTCAGGAAATCCACTGTACAATCAACAGGAAGACGACAAATGCCCAGAACAGTTTCACATCAAAGACTATACACTTTTCTTACACCCAACCAGACATCTCCTTTCTGGAACAGCTAGTAAAATTTTCTTGGCAACTCTTGCTACAGTTAAGATCACTAAGAACACCACCGGTGTTTCAAAACAAAAGCCATTAAGTCTTGCTTGTTTGGCTTTATAACCCAAGGAATGAAGGTACGATGAATGGATCATTAACTGACTTTGACTGCCAGAATTAGCAAGCACCTACTCTAGTATTGCTGCATTTGGGATTATTTTCAACTGAATGAGGCTAGCAAGCACTTACCTTATTTAAGGCATGCATTATTTTGGATCTAAAAACCACTGTGGCACATGACAATGAGATGAGCCAGAAAATCATCATTACACCTGAAGACTGGACTCCTTTTATTCTTTCATACTGTATTAAAAATGTGGCAAGCAACTGTGGACAAATAAGATAAAAACATATTCACAAGCTTCAAGTTTTACAGTACACATATACAAGGTACTGCATTAAAGTATTCTTACTTAACATTTCAAATCCAGTAACTCCCAGACACTCTAACACCCAAATATTTTAAAAGTAATTTTAAAATACATTTAAATGGGATATTTTCTGGAGCAGTAAAGATAAGTGAACAAAAAAATTGAAAAGGAATACACATTATATGGAAGTAAATAACCACAGACAAAAGTACTGGCAAAAGCTGCCAATCTTTATTTCTTTACTTTTCTTTTTCTGCATCACAAACTCACACACAATTATAGTGACACTATAACCTTTCCAATTATTTCCTGACTAATTATTTTTAAAATAAAAAGACTTCTTTCCATACAAGCCACAATGCCAAACAGCACTGACCAAACATGACTCTATTTCTGTATTTTCTGTTTTCAGAGTCCTTTAGGGAGCTGGTAGAACTTTGGAATCTTACTTGGCTGCTGCAACATGCATTTGCAATCAGCCTGACAAAAGCCTGACAATTGCATTATTAAATGACCACAAACTATTTAACAGTTCTTGCACCTGTCAACACGTTTCAAGGTGGTTGGGTTTTTTTGGGTTGTTGTTTTATTCTTATTATTGATATTGGGCTCCTTGTGTTCTGTCTGTCCCCATCTTGAGTACCATCTTTAATCATCACCATTGCAAGTCTGTAATAAATGTAAGGCAACTGACAAGAAATGAACAGCAAGGAATTTTCCTTGAAACACAGGCTGCAAAGATACCGGTGTGAAAACAGACAATACTTGCATGTCTAGGCAGGAGGAGTTAGCTGGGGACACCCATGTGCCTCACATGGCATTTAAGCCTTTCCACTGTGCCATCAAATGTAACAGAAGAAAAATGCACTAAAGAACGTCACATGCAGAAGAATAGGGCACTTAAAAATGTAATGTCTTCGACAGTCTTTTACCAAGTTCAGTGTGGTTTGTATTAACTAGGCTTAATCAGCTGTCTTGACTTGATTCCCCCACCCCATGCTTGAGCTGAGCTAGTAAAGGAATGTTAGTTCAAGCCTAACAAAATACAGCAAGACAACTAGCAGTGGCTCGTGTGCTGACACACGACGCGCTGCACACAGCAGGGTTTGAGGGCTTTGCTTTCTTTTGACAAAAAATTAGAAAGAGACATTTCAGAGTCAGTATTACACAGTTCAACTGCAAATTAAGTCTTTATGTAAAAACTGTAGCTTAAAGAATTACAACACTGTGAATACTAATAAGTGTCGTGTTGCTATGGCTTTAGATGAACAAAGGCCAAAACAGAAGAACTTACCATTGTTATACCCAATACTGTTGGCCTCACGAGAAAAAATGGAGCTCGAAAAATATTTTGACTTCTTTCCCAGAAAGAGTAGAAAAGGTCTGCCCAGCAGACTATCCAAAGTACTAAGCCCAAGGCCTGCAATACAAAAATGTATTTCATACATCAGTTCATATAGATTAAGCAGCAAAATATATGCATGACACTAGATATTATGTGCTAGTAGAAGAGGAATCATAATCAGATCATCTATTTTGGGCAATTCTACAACACACAGAATAATAATTTGGCTTTATCTAGTGGATCGTCACCAGAAGAAAAAAAGTTTACTACTTTTTAGTACCATATAATTCAGTGTATTATGAAGCAGAAAGCTGCTGAATCTCACTCCTGAATAACCAACTGCAGAGACAAACACTCTCCAATATACCATGCTATTACAGTCCTTCTTAAAACTTTTTACTTATTCTACAAAGAAGAAATAAAAGTAAGAAAACATTAAGAACCCATTTCACAATAGAAGTGAAACAGAACACCTGCAAGACCTCTAGAAACGACACTGTGTAACTTCAGAAGCTGACAGGATAAAAAATCCTTTCTATTATTGAAATAAAGATTGAGTTAATTCTTTAAATAAGTCTTCTCCAACTGGTCTTACAAAGGATTTGTATGATTTATTGCGACATCAGAGTAGATTTCAGAAAGCCTACTGGTAAAAGGGCAACAGAAACATGTAAGGCTTGCAGATCAAACAAGCAGAATAAGTAAATTACAGCTGAACTGCACACAGAGGTCAAGACTGCTGCTCCAGATAAGCTTAACAAGTTCTAGTTCTAAAAAGTCACAAACCGTTTTGGCTTTGTTGAGGTTCGACATTTGTATGTATCCCCTGTCATGACAACGAAGGTGTAAGAAGTACACTGGGAAACAGAGCCATAGGTAAATGCAAGGGATCCAGACCAGGACTGTGTTCTGAAAGCACTGGGTGAAGTCTGGATTTTCTGTGTGCCATGTCAGATTCCAATCCTGGGGAGAGAAAACAGAATGAGTTAAAGCAAATAGAAATTCAGTATTTAAAAAATTATATAGCCACTATCTGCCTTATTCTCTCGCTCTTCTTGGGTATTAATGCAAGTTTAAATAAAGTTGGTTCCATTCTGTGATGTATCTCATTTTACTGCACTTTTTGTAGCTCAGAAGCTTTAAACCTTCACAAGATAAAATTAGTGTCACTTTTGTTGGTTATACACAGTTCCCGTAACACATAACTCACTCAAATGTAATACTGGGATCTTTAACAGTACTTATCAGGATCTGTAGCAGTATTAATCAAGGATTTTCACATCATCATTGCAGAACAACATCATCACAATTCTGGCTATCTCCCATAATAACCTCTGTACACAGATGTATAAATACTCACATACTCTGCATCCTCAAATTTCCGTGCCAAGATATTTTTGCAGCAAACAGTTGAGACTTTCTGATAATTCCTAACAATAGGGCACAGAACTAAGTCCAAGTCTTGCCCTTCCAGCCCATTTCCCAATCAATAGTGCAAAAACGTAACTCAATATAATTCAGTGTTTTTCTATTTCTCCCAACACAATTCTCAAAAAAAAGATAAACCACCACAGAGTCAGAACAGAACCGGCACTTCGACTAACAAAACTATGATCACTACTTCCAAGACTGGTACAAGGGCTTTTTACAATGACAGGCTATTTAGTAAAATGAATTTTCATATCATATTTATGACTGGCTTGAGTTACGGAAATCCCTTGCAGGAAATTTTATCTTAAAATTGCTGACTTTACTGTAAAATTATCACAAGGGACACTTCCTCTCAAGTGCTGTAGATTTCTCACTCTCCAACAGAATGATGGAGATAACGAGATACCACTGTTGCAGATGGACTGCAATATTTAATAGCCAAGCATAGCACACAGGCTTCTCTTTAAAAGCCACACAGCCTGAATTAGCAGTCCCAAGCCCAAAAGTTTGTTAGCTAGTGACATTTTCAGTTGCAAAGCTTTTTTCCCCACAGTTGCACAGGGTACAGCTGCACAGAATACAAATGCCACAGCTGGGACATAAGGACAGTTAGTAATCCTTCTCCATAAAAGCTTGAGCTGGTCACAGAAATAAATGCCACTATCCACATTTTATAGATGAGAAAACAGAACCAAAAGGAGCTGTAGTGCCTGTCCCCTCTATTTCAACATCAAAACTAGAAACAGATCCCGCTGCTCAAAATCGCCACACTTTGATCCTTATTTGACCCCATCTTCCACTGATTGCACAGTTTCAAACAATTACAAAGAGAGAAAAACAGGTCTAAAGAGAAAGAGAAGATAGAACTTGCAAAAATTTCAATTTGAGGCTAACCAGACATCATAGAGCAGGTTTCCCCTTAAGTTTGACCATTGTATATTAAGATGTTCTGTTGTTTGTTTGTTGTTGTAGGTTTGTATTTTTAAGGGGGGGAAAAAAAAAAGCACACTCTTTTGAAAATTTATTAACAAAAATACTTCCCTTCCCCACTTCCCTCTCATTTTGTCACAATCTAGGCCTTTTCTCAGTTAGATACGACAGAGCAGATGCACAGGATACAGGACTGTTATTTTTTTCCTCTAACTACACAGCATTCTAAAAATTCTTCTCACTTCCTGGAACTTTTAGTGACAGTTTACGAAAAAATTTTTAAACCGTCCAAACTTAATACAGCAAATTCAAGGAAATTAACACTGGTAAGGCATAAACCCGTGCAGATACAATTAAAACCCAGTCAGGAATGAGTCACACAGGCTGCTCCCGAGGAGGCAGCGGCTGCGGGACATTGCGGGCCACGTGTTGTTGCCGCTTCCCGAGCACAGCGCAGCAGTTTCAGCTGAGTCACCCTCACACCCCGCCAGGGCACAACTCCTCCTGGCTTTCTAAGTCCCAGCTGCTCCGCTCCAGCACAGGAGCCAAGAAAAAGTCTTATGACTCTGCAGAACAGTTTACAATTCACAAATTAAGATAGTTAATATGATTATACAAATAAACTGACAGGATGTAATCAGCTCTACGAACAAACGAGCACTGACATCATTTTACTGCGTAAATATTTGGAGTTCTACACACTGCATAAGGAAGTTACTATCCCCTTTTTCAGTCTTTTTAAATGCTTGCTGTAAAATGAATCAGGCAATTAACAGAAAGGACAGGCCATTTAATGCACTGCCATGTGGCTCAATAAAAGTGCTGTATGTGTAACTGCTGTGCATATTGTATATGTCTTTAGAAAGTCCTACAGGCAATCTTTCATTTGACTTCTCTATCTGTAAGTTATCTGGAGGTGTTTTGGCATGAAAGGCAAGAGGGTATGATGCAATGATACTTCAGGGTTAAGAAAAGAGTCAGGACCAAGAGGCAGGTTAGGGTAAAATTATTGCTAGAATTTAAGAGCTACAGCAACATCAGTGTATCTTCCTCCACATTGATCCTGGATTCGATACAGAGACTGCTGATACCTAATAGGAGATTGCTTTGCTTAAATACCCTACTTTTCTCTGTACAAAAGAAATGGTGACACACGTGAGGTGCAGAAGCCCTTCCCATTTTACATTCAATTCAGGTGACTAAAGGCAAGGAAAACATGCAGGAAGAGAGAC